GGTTGCGGGGGTGCCAGCTGGGGGCGGAGGCGCGGGGGCGAGGGGGTAGGAGGGAGGGGCCAAGGGTGCGAACACTTCGCAGAGTAAAGATTAGTCTGTCCTACGGAGGTCGTTCCTGCAGCATTGACAAGCGATTAAGGCCTCACCAGGGCTTCCACTATCTTTATCAACGCCTGACACAACATTCGTTGCCTCGCGTCCAATACTCCCGGTGGCGTTTCGTTTTGGGGAGTTTCCCGTTTTACTCCATTGCGGCTGTGTTGCTGCACGTGGCTTTTGGCCTGAGAGGCGTTGGCTTTGTCGATGTCTATGGAGTACAGTGGAGTTAGCCCTAGGTACCCTGAAGTGTGAGTGATTACAGTAACGGCCTGCCATTTGGGTGCTGCTCGCCATCATCCTTGCCAGCACCATCACTATTAGGTCGCGATTCGACATCACCCCACTGCTTCCTATCAGGTGCACTGCTCGACAATAGGGTGCTGTTCGTCTTGAAGGGCACAACTGGGACGTGTTATCAAGTACAATCAACACTGTTATCGCCATCACAACGAGGCTATCAGGGGCGCAGTCCGTCATCAAGTTGATGTTCATCATCATCATCATCAAGGTTTGTTAGCATCATCATGACGTTAGTCGTCATCATTAGGATATTACCTGTTATTATCACTTGACGAAAGAGTGTGATTAGTCGTTTTTCATTACCATTAGGTTACCATCAAAGCATAGGTCGGGCGCTTGTCATCCATGGATTGGTAAGTGCTCGTCATTTTAATCATCATTACATCTCCGTGTGGGCCTTGTCATTACCAGCATCATCATTACTGTGTTGCTCGTCCTTACCTCTATCTGTAGCATCACCATTATCATCATTATCATCCTCATCACCATCATCCCTATAAAATATTTCCCTTAACTGCACTCCTTATTTGTGGGACGTCACTGATATTATCTGTAGGCGAGTCCGCTCGCCAATATCATCCTTAAAATTTCCAGTCTTAGGGTGTTGTTCGCTGTCACCGATCCAATCACAAGTTATCCATAACATCATCGTCATTACTACCATCTGAGGCTTCATCATCGATATCGTTATCATCATCATTACTATCATCCTTAAAAAATCATCACTAATCGCTCGCCAATACTCTTCTGATAACCCTTTGTCTTAGGGTACTGTTCTCGCCAGCAATTAGTATTTTCCATTTCGGTACTTTCATCATGATTTTCCTTTTTTCATGTTCACTCTCATGAGTGCTTCGATCCTGGGATCTCCATCACAAAATCTTACTCAACTATACACTGTCTTCATGGGATTTTTTTCCAGGTTGTGCTTTGGGATAGGGCTTCTTTGGTCACGGTTTGGATTTTTGGGGAAGGGTGGGGGTTGGTATTGGGGAGCCTTACTTTACAGGGGCGCTGCAAGGTGGGAGGTGGCTACCCTGTTGGGGGTGGGGCAGATTTGTGGTTTGTCCTTGTCTGGGGCCGCGGTGGGAGGGCCGGGGTGGGAGAGTTGGTCGCCTTCAACCCGGCGGGGGCAGATAGGGACAAGGGAAGGGCGAAGTTATCCTCTAGGAGGGAATTGGATGCCTTTGCGGATGGGGGGGAAGGAGGGGGTCTGTTCCAGGTTGGGGCCGAGGTGGTTTTCCTCGCCGGTGGCAGTATGGAACAGGGGTTGCGGGCAGAGGGAAGTTTCTCTGCACGGTGACTTTTGGAAGCTTCTTGGACAAATTATGGTATATTAAGCCTTCCGGGGTTCTGAAAGCTAGAGCAGCATCCGGTCTTCTTCTTTATTAGGATATTCGATTTTAGAGATGGTTATACCTGGACTGACATCGGCAGCGTTGCTCTGTTCTGTGCCCTCAGTTTGCCGATGCCAGAACGACGCTGGCCGGTGCTGGGGTGTTCACCCTGTAACCTGCAACGGCAGGAATCTGAGGCCTTGTAGAGAGATTTGGGGTTTGCCGAGGGAGGAAGGTAAGCCAGTGGCGAATTGTGGGGGACCGCCTTGACACCCTATGGGGTCGGGGATAGTCTTGGTGGTGAGAAGAGGTCAGCTATGGATGATGTTGGTCTGGTCAGTACTGTCTTTGAGTAGTAATGTCCCGGTATAGGGAGGGCTAGGAGTTGCTCTATGTTTAGGAAGCTGGAATGACTGATATAGCATAGTATTCAATTTTTTAGTTTTTCATCGAAAAATAATTCTTAGCCGAGCAGTATTCAATTTGTTAGTTCTTCATCAGAAAAAGATTCTTAGCCGAAACCGGGTAATGACCCCGGCACCTCATATGTTGTGTAATAATTCATGTGGGACGCCGGACCCGGTTTCCAGCACGTGCTACTCCCCACGAATAGATTGGAGCAAATTGTCCCCCCCCCCCCGAAAAAAAAAACAACGTTGCATTGCGTCTTGTGCACTTTCAACTCCCTGACATCACATTGCCGCTGCGACACGTCGCATTGCCTCTTGCTGGTTCTGTCCACCAAATTCGCAATGACAGTTGAGTGTGTATTCATCACATCAGTAACCGCCTTGAATGGTTGTTGCCGTGCATTTCTCCTTTTTAAATATTTATATCCTCTCGATGATTTGCTTCCCGATCCATCTCCCTTGCCTCCCTCTACATTGTCACTCACAAAAGTCTCTCCCCCCCCACCGTTTCCCCCTCCTTGCAGTTGAGACGCGCTAGTATCCACCAGATTCGGCTGATGAATGGTCTGGTTGCCATGCTGGCCTGCATCTGTCGCCTCGTACAGGCGCCGATCCATTTGGAATTTGTATCCCGCCTCATTTCGCTGCTTCGGCATGAGAGTGAAGAATGACTGCTTGCCCAACTCATTTTCTCTCAACTGCATCTTTTTGTACCACGAGAAGATGTTTTCCCACCGTTTCATACATTGCTCCAAATCCCGCTTCACCCCTAACGCCCCCATGCGGTTGGCGATGTCTGTCCATTTCCACTCTTTATTCTTCATGTGCGCAAAGTTGTGCACTGCGGTGACCAACACCTCGTCTTGATCCCACTTACAACAGACAAGTGTGAGGGAATCGTCTAAATTTCATATAGTCCGCCCTTCGCTGCCCACCTTCTCTTTGCCTTGCCCCTTTGAAGCGATTTTCTTCGCAAGTGTCTTCTTGCGGCTGCAGGAAGCTAGTTGAACTTCGTTCTCCATCTCCTCTTCCTCTTCTCCCTCCCCGTCTACTTCATCCCCGCCTTCACCAACACCCTCACCATCACTTGTCGCACACTTTGTGGAAACACGTGCGATGATGTGTTCCACCACATTCGCCTCTCTGCTCTCCGCTCGCCCCCCCGTTGTTGCGGTCGTTTCCCGACCAGCGCCGAGAAGTCTTGTGAGTGCCCCGCCCACTCTGCCATTATTTACAAGACATGCCGGCTGGAGCACCCGGCGGCGGTCGATCGCCCTCCCTCGCACCCGACAGATGGCTCGCCTTGAGAACGACCGGAAGGATTTACCAACAAAGTTTTGGATACGGTCGTTTTCCCCCCAGATGATAATTGTAGGTCGAGATGCGGTCCCATGCCCTGGTGCTGTCCATGCATCAGGAGATTTGTCATGGGTCCCTGCCGCTGATGAAGATCCACTTGTTCCATCCCGCAATCAGCGATGGATTGCGTCGATCCGTGCACCAGAGAGACGATAGACGATGGCGGTTCCCATGAGTCATCATCAGGCAGTGGTTGTTGCCACGACGGCAGGTGCGCTTATGGGGCTGGGTCGAAACGGGGCATGCCCGAAAACCGCTGATCACCCCCTCCCCCCCCYCCCCTCCATGTCGTAGAAGAACTGCTCGCACCCATCACCGCCTGCCATGCGTCCCTTTTGCCCGGTCTGCTTAACCACTTTTGTCGTTTTCCGCCTACGCGGCAGACAACAGACCTGCAGCAATGGGCAGAAGTGCACGAGGACGACAACGACCAGGACGAGGAGGAGACAGAGTAACGTAAACTTCCGCACATGGTCAGCCATGCAAGTGCTTGCAAGCGAAGTAGAAGGCAGTGTCGACAGTGTCGTGGCGGGGTTGCAGGCTGCTACGCATGCTCCTGCCTGAGTTCCCATTGTCTTGTAGTAGACACGACAACACTCATGCTGTCTCGTCTACCCAAACAAACCACCACCCACCCCTTCCCCCACCCCGCCTCTTCCCCTCCCTTCGCACGCAAACGTTTGAATTTCAAAAACAGTGACCTCCCAACGGACTTGCGTGCCGCCGCAACAACCTGAAATGCCCGTGGTACCGCTGCTGGGACAACAGCCTCAAATGACCATGGTACCACTGCTTCTACCGGCCACCACCACTGGATAAAGACAAGCCTCCTCCTAGCATTCATCAAATCAAACTGATAAAGGACACAAGAGAAGAGAAAGAAGGGAGGGAGAGAGAGAGAGAGAGAGAGAGAGAGAGGGGGGGGGGGGGGAGAGAGAGAAAGAGGAGAGAGGGAGACGACGCCAAGACCGAAGAAGACAAGGTACCAAACAAGGAAAGAGAAGAAGCTCATCCCAGATATTCCCAAAACGCGACCGTTCGGCCGTTAGATAACCAAGAAACACCGCCGAATACATCAGAAAAATATAAACGTGAAGCACTGGCGCAGCGACCCTACGCTGCGTTTCATCCGGCCGCCACTACCGGAATCATCAGGGGTCTAGTCGCTAGGAAAYAAGGGACTGAGCAAATAGAAACAAACCATTAAGTACTACCTAGCGAACCACCGAGAATAGCGCAGAATGATCAGAACAGTCAAGAAGGAGTTCCACGGAAGACCACGAGCTTCCTGAGCAAGGTATGAGCAGAAAAGAAAAAATGAATATAGACAGAAAAGAGTYAGAGGTACCAAGATCACAGACGGGGAGAAGAATAAAACCAGTGATTCCTCTAGAAGCAGCGAAATTCAGTCCCCCGGCACAGCACCGATGCAAACTTCCTATGTAGCCACATGTTAACCAACAGGCGGTCCAGAGCAGACCCATACAGATATTCGGGAAAGTTTTTGGAAAAAAWAARAAAAARAAAAARAAAGGGAAARAAAAAWRAAAAAAAAAAAAAAAAAAAAAGGGAGAAATCTAACAAAAGATCAAGCAACGACGAGAAAAGCCCCTCAGAGGCCTGTTACCCTTTCATACATGCCTGAATGGGCCTAGCCAAGCCATCGAAAAGTTTCCCCCAGCCCGTCAAAACAACCACCCAGTGGTCCCACACCCCCGCGAACTTTCTTGAGAACGTCTTCAGGCTGCTGTTAAAATAGTTGTCCGGGAAGCCCCGTTTCCGGAGCTCAATCTTCAAGGTGAACTAAAAGGCTACCTCCATTCCTCTCATCGTAGTGTACGCCCGAGCCCTGTGGAGGCAAGACCCAATCACAACCAATTTCTGTTGCTTACTGGAATACGAGTCGTAGTCCTGCAGGTTCTGAAACCTCAACACCTCCTCTTTGTAACTCCGTTGATTCTTATGCTTGACCACACATTGTACCCCCCATGGCCAACCAAGAGATTTAAGAACACGGCCCAGAAAATCCCAACAATCGCCATCATTCGTTTGTTCCAAAATAAGGTTGTCATCGCAGCAAGACCTGAACCTATCCAGAATTCGCTCAGCAGTCAAGATGGAAGCCGTATCCCCTTTCTTACAGCGGACCATCAGAGAAACATCATCAACCATACGTACACCATTTACCAACCCCTGGTTACATCCCAATGATGTCAAGAACATGAATTCGTTAAAAGCACATAGGAGGCAGGCCAACGCCGGGCTAGATGCCTTACCCATCGAAATTCCAACTTTTTGTTGCAGCACCCGTCCACATGCCCTGAAATATGTGGAGCCAAGCTTAAAAGAAATAAAGTCCACAATGGCTTTCAACGATATCAAGCTCCATCCTACCTCGGTCTTCCCAAACCTCAGCTTAGCCCCCTTCCCTCGAGCTTTGACCAAAACGCCCTTGCACCCCCTAATTACCCAGAAGTCGACAACCCATCTTACCGCCTCCATAATAGACTTGTGGGGGAGGTTACAGAACATTTCCTTGATGTCGAAAGACGCATTCACAAAGAATTCATCCCTACCAAGAGTCTCATTTATTCGCCCCAGGGTGGGTGCCAGGTCGATCATGCTCTTTAAATTAAAATTAGTTCCCCGTGGCAAATCCAACAGCAGCTGGTTAACAGCACGCGCCACCTTCTTACTTGCAGTCACACCTCCTTCTGAAAAGGTAGGACATATAGGTCGCCACCTTGTGATATCTTTATGCTTAGGTATAGAGTACGCCTTCCCCAATTCCCCATTAACGTTCCACTTTCCTAAACAACCAAATCCTTCCTGCTTATACATAGCACCACACTGCCGTACAACATCCACCTCATCACCCACGTGCTCAAAACCAGCATTTGACAGAAAAAGTGTTTCCAGACTTCCTCTGTACACACTCGGACAACAGAAAAGAGAATCGCCCATGTTATGATCAATTGGACAACCCACCAAATTTCCCAGCCTCCGTTTCCAAGACAAGACTTCTGCCAAACCAAACCCATCCACCCCTGGTGCAATCATCGTTTTGTTGAAACATGCATCAACCGCCGCTTTGTCAAACATTTCTTCCTGTATCTTTGGGAGGAAAGCAAGAGAGTCACAAGAGGCAATCACCTGTTTGATCAGAGTCCTTCTAGAGGTAGACTGAGAAGGTCGGGGGATATTCCTAGCGTTCTTCAGAAAAGAAGGGAAATGAGCATAATCAGACGAGCGAAAACAAATATGCCCATCTACCCATTGAAAAGATCCCCCCACAGCATCGCAACAGCAAACATGCTCGAGTTGTCTACTAGCGGAATTAAACAGAACGTCGCCAACACTCTGATTCTTCGTCCACACAACTTTCATCCTTCTAACGACCATTTCGAGCAAGCATGCAGGTAAATCCAACGTTCTCACCAACTTCCCACACAACAATCGAACCTCGTTTTTCGCAACCCGAGAGTCATACGCAAGCCGAATGACAAGTCTAGCACGCACGTTGAAACCAAAAATCCTTCTTACAGCCCCGGAAAGCAGACACCGCAGCAGATACCGCGACCTTTTTTCCTTGAAACACCGAATTGCCATGTACGAACGAACCAACTGCTCCAAATCCCACCCAGAGAGAACGACACGCGTTGACGGGTTCTGGAGGAAACCCAAGAGAACCGGCTTATGACACAACAGACTCGAAGAATAGAAGGCAATCGTCCGAAACTGGATGGTAACGCCATTGACAAGCCAGCCACGACTAGTATTCAACGCTGCAACCCCGAAAGCGGTCTCAACAACCGATCCCCCGAAAAGCCGTTTGACAATTTTTCAAGAATCCAACAAAAGACTCCCTCCTTCATAGCAAACCGTAAGTTCCCGCCTTCCTTTTTCCCTCGCGTTCATTAATAGGCTTAGCAAACTGGTAGACAGATCACCTTCCCCATTTGAGAAAACCAGATGTGTGTGCTTAGCCCAACTATCCACTTCGTTGACTTTAGCCTTCACTCCTCCTTTCAGCCGCCTCCTTTCCCGCTCCTTTTTACCCGGTCTACAGCTCCTATATCTGGTAGGTCTATCACGACTATTAAGAAAGGGACAGTGTCTTCGAATCACCATTCGTTCCAAGCCCAACATATCATCAGACTCACAACGAAACAAAGGCAACGCCACATAGCTTTCTGGTCCACACCGCCTCAGCCAACTGTACAGACGGTGGTTTCTTCTCCCCTTCTCAAACACATCCGTATTACAAGTCCGGTATACGTGTTCCCCCCACCGCACGTCCAATGACCGACTAGTACATCCCACGTAAACGTGTTTATGCCATGGCGACAATAATATATATACCAACGGTCCTTTACAACGCCATAGATCATGACAGTCTCTGACCATAGACAAAAGGTAGGAGCGATAACTAGCAACCCAAGGAATTAAGCCGCGAGAGACCATAAGCAAGACCACAGCCTGGAAAAAGGAGTTTCTCGTAGCATCACGTAACATAGAGGGTGAAAAAGAGGAAATCAAGGAGGAATCAGGAGACCCAGAAACAAGAGGAGCACCATGAGAAAGACGACAATCCTTAGCACAGTCCCATAGCGTCGCGTTTCGAAAATCCCCTCATGCCGAGTCAGATGGCACTTCCGCCACCTCCGCAACATTACTGGCTTCCGCAGCAGCCTTACTTGGATGCTGGCCTGTGCCACCTCCGTTCTCCTTCTCCACAGCCTCGCTGAACATTTTGTTGATGTACAGTTGTGCCAGTTCCTCAGCCATGGAGTCCACGGTTTGATACTGGATTCCTTCTTCCTGACACAAAGCCTCCAGACCCTTCTTCTTCAGCCCCTTGAGGCGTTTCCTTTCATCTTGAAGCAAGACAAAGCGGTCGTTAGCCTTCCTAGGGTTGTCACTCGGACGTGGCAGACGGCCAGACGTCATCTTCACTCTCCCCCTCCTACCAGATTGGAAACCCGTCTTCGCTGCTTCGTCCATTCTCTCCTTGAGATTAGTGCCAGCCCCTCTAGGTGTGCTTCCTTCACCCCCCTCCGTAGACAGTTATCCCATTCGTTCTCTCAACCTCTGTAGCTCCGCTTCTGCTTCCATTCGTTTAACCTCCGCCTCTGGTCGCTTTTTCTTCAACATATCCGCCTCTGTTAAGTACATTTCCGTCTCTCGTGAAGGTCCAAAAGCTCAGCGCGCAGCCTACTAGCCTCCTCAGGCGCACTCACCGATCGCGATTTGGTGCATGCCCGTCCTTCCGAAGACGGAGTCGCAACATTAATACTCCCCCGTTTGTTTCCGGGACACAGCGCTTCATTGCGCCATAGCCAGGCCACCTCTTTTGTTTCATCATTGTGCTTGCGCAGAAGTTGCACTTCCCTTCGTAGCTCTTCAACTTGATTTGCCAGGTCATTTTTCATCGCACTTCCTCTACACTCCTTGAGTTCCCGAATTTCCCATTTCAACGCAGCCAACTCACCCTCCATCTTCAACTTTGAGTCAGCTTCTTGCCTTTTCAAATCCACATTCTCTCGTTGGAGCTGATCAACGACCTCCGAAGTCGGTAATTGCTCCTTGATCCCGAACTTTGCCCTTAGTTCCATATTTTCACGACGCAGCCTCACCAACTCCTTATTATTAGGATTAGAACAAGCCGCCCCTTTCCCCATGATCGCTTCGTACATAGGTGCCAACCTACTCTCCAATGTTTGCCCCATAGACTTTTCCAAGTCTTCCCGTTCCTTCTTTCGTCGTAACTCCTCCTCCTCCTTCTCCCGCTTCTTCCTCTCCTCCTCCTTAGCCGCCCATTCCTCCCTCTCCTTCTGTTGAGCCTTACTAACGAAATCGTTACATTTGTCCAAAATCTGCTGGTTGCGCGTCCACCACCCAGTGCGAGGCACAAGTCCATGAGTGGTAGCAGCCGGTGCCACCGATTGTGCCGAAGCAGATGCTGTCCCGGACGCCGGTAAAGCCAAAATAGGCTCGGCGTTAGCTCCAGTAGCTACAGAAGGCCGATATCCCAACCTCTGCGGATGAGGACACTCCCTCGACCAGTGACCGTGCTCACCGCAATTAAAACATCCCCGATTCGTATTCGCCATTCCGAATTACCAAAAAAGCAGAAAAAAAGTCAAAGAAGAGTCAAAGAGAAGAGAAGAGAGACACGGGACAAGGCCGACCAGTACCGAGTTTGACAAAGTTAAGTTCGACTAACGCAGCCACACATCCGTAATCTGATTTATACGGCGGTTACGACGCGATTTGCTGGATGAAGACAAGCTTCCTCCTAGCATTCATCAAATCAAACTGATAAAGGACACAAGAGAAGAGAAAGAAGGAAAAGAGAGAGAGAGAGAGAGAGAGAGAGAGAGAGAGAGAGAGAGAGAGAGAGAGAGAGA